AGCAAAAAGCAACAGAACAGTTAGCAAAAGATAATATTCACCTGTAATATTCTACAAATTTGTAATAATAAATTTTGCCTTCAGCGAATTGTTATCTAAATACCCTTTTTTCGACTATAAAAATTTTGGTTTCATAAGTAAAAAATTTCATGTAAATTTTAAAATTCACTTGTATTTGGAAAGAAAGTTTTATTTCATACCTGAAAGTGCCCTTAAAAAAAAATTGTTATAGCATTACAAGTAAAAAAAACTCTAGTCAATTTGTGTAATTTGCGCACAAAGGATCTTTACAACATACGTTGTATAATAAGATCAGCCCAAGTAGAGATCACTATTATATGGTCACCGTTAATTTCACAAAGGATCTTATAGTATACATAAGTTCCTATGTATAGTAAGATTGGATCTAGGTAGAGATCACTATTAAATCTTCAATTCAAAAAGCCCAAAATCTGATCTTAGATAGGGATTTTAATCTTGACCTATTTTATTAAAAAAAAAAAATTCAATAGCCTAATATTGACAAAGATAAAAAAACTAGACTTTGAACATAAAAGCGTAAGTTTGCTTGTTAAAATAAGGATAAAGTTTAGAGTGTATAATTATACGTAGAATTATATCGAAATAGTGATCTATATAGAAAATGCCAGAAAATACCATGTTTATGCAAAGTAAACTTCTTCAAAAAGAATTTTTACGAGTAGTTGTTTTGATACCAAAAACTGTGTAGTATCACTCTATAGATTGTACTACTTTACGTAAAAATTTACTTTAACTTTTTTGACCTTATATATGGTCTCAAAATTTTAATTTTAACTATACATATATAAGATCTGCATCACATTGTAATATAGAAATTTTATTAGATGACTAGTGGATCATCAATTAATATTAAAAAAAAATAAATAAATAATAAAATATAAGCAAATTTTTTTTAAATTCCTACCTTTATGTCTATTTGTATTACTAGTATTTACCAATATAATATTCTTATTATTATTTTCATTATCATTTTCACTACTATTTTCATCATCAATTTCAATTTTATTATCATTATTATCTTTGTCTTTTTCTGATTTATAATTAATATATATTTTATCCAGATAGAAATAAAATTCTTTAAGATTATTATTAATTATTGTATTTAGAAGTAATATTGTGGTAGAATTTAATCAGTAGTCATTAGTAAACTTGCTATATAATCTTATACCTTTATGAAATCTATATTCTAAAAAATTTATCAACTTATTTTCAAGTATATCTGCTATTTTAAGAATCATAATCATACTATGGTATATATTGTGGTAGTAATTTTATAATCATCAAGCTTGATACCAGTTTTTAATTTTTTTTTTTTTTTTTTGGTATTAAGGTGGCCTCTTGGCCGGCTTCTTTTATTCGGTTATAGTTAACTTTACAATATGCGTTTATAGCATCTCGTATATATATTTGGAGAGTACATACTAGT